TCACTACACCAGGACGATAGCAACACTGTCACTACACCAGGACGACAGCAACACTGTCACTACACGAGGACGACAGCAACACTGTCACTACACCAGGACGACAGCAACACTCACTACACGAGGACGACAGCAACACTGTCACTACACCAGGACGAAAGCAACACTGTCACTACACGAGGACAACAGCAACACTGTCGCTACACCAGGACAATAGCAACACTGTCACTACACCAGGACGACAGCAACACCGTCACTAATCAGGACAACAGCAACACCATCACTGAACCAGGATGACAGCATCACCGTCACCATACTAGGGTGACAACAACACTATCGCTGCACCTGAACCTCAACCCGTCACTACAGTATTCGGATAGCAACGCCATCATTAAACCTAAACAACAGCAACATCTTTATTTCATTACAACACCATCACTACACCATGGCAACAACATCATTGTTGCACCTGTATGACAACAATACCAGTACTGCACAAGTTCAAAGCAAATCCAGCACTACACCAGTACAACAGCAACACCAGTACTAGATTAGTACAACAGTAGCACCATCACTGCATCAGTACGACAACTCTATCACTGAACCAGTAAGACAGCAACACCAGTACGACACCACTACAACAGCAATACCAGCCCTACATCAGTACAACAGGACCACTACCACTACACAAGTATAACAGTGCCACCATCACTACACAAGTATAACAGTGTCACCACCACTACACAAGTATAACAGTACCACCATCACTGCATCAGTACAACATCAACACCATTACTGTCCCAGTACAACAGCAAGCGCAGCCCTATACCAGTACAACAGTTGGGGAGGTGATGACCTAGTGGTATTATCACTGGATTGTTAATCCAGAGACCCAGATAATGTTCTGGGGACCTGGGTTTGAATCCCGCCATGGCAGATGGTGGAATTTGGTCTCATGATGACCATTGTTGATTATCGGGGCAAAACCCATCTGGTTCACTCATGCCCTTTAGGGAAATAAACTGCCATCTTTACCTGGTCTGGCCTAAATGTGGCTCCAGACCCACAGCAATGCGGTTGACTCTTAATTGCCCGATGGGCAATAAATTCTGCCTAGCCAGTGATGCCCTCACATCCCATGAATGAATTAAAAAAAAACACCATCACTACCTTGGTACAACAGCAACACCATCATTATATCTGAACCCATCATTACACCAGTAAAACAGCATCATCACTACACCAGCACCATCACCACATGTATAGCAGTAACACCATCACTACACCAGTGCAAAAGCAAAACCATCACACCACCTCTACAATAGCAACGCCGTTGTTATAACTGTAGAACAACAATATAACATGAGCAGCAATGTAACCAGATGAGACAAATGGGTCACAAACAGTGATGTGAAATACCTGATAGGCTTTGTTGGCTTCGATCATCATCTGTAGCTCTGGAGAGTTTTCATTGGGTTTTACCACACAGTAACACAGCATTCTGTTGGGAACAGTAGAAAATCAATTTCTCACAGTTTTTGTGTTTTCATGTAATGCATTTCATTGGGTCATGTGTCAGTGTGCCCACCGGGAAGCATGTACCTTGTGTTCTAGAAGGTGCCTTTCATGCAATCAATCTAGATAACAGAAATGCCCAGGGATCATGACAGAGTATCTTTACTGTTATTACGGCAGACGTGGGAGGAGTGCACTTTCTCTCGTTCCACTACCCCATTTGTCACAAAATATATTTAGCTTTAAAACAGCAACATCGTCACTGGGCCAGCACAGGGCCAATTATACATACCAATCTATCAATTTCAGACTTTAAATCTACCAACCAGGCTTTATTAATAAACACAAAACTATTGATTTGTCATAAAACAAGACTTATTCAATAAAAGAAACAGTATGAATATATACCCTTCTAAATAACCAACACACATGCCAATGAAAAATTAAAGAAACTTTCTTAAATGAGATTAATGTTTTAAAAACCTCTGACCATATCATTGTTAGTTGAAGAACATAGAACATAGAAAAGTACAGCACAGCACATGCCCTCGGCCCACGATGTTGTGGGACCTATTATCCTACTGAGATCAATCTGTCCTGCATACCCTACATTTTACTATCATCCATGTGCCTATCCAAGAGTTCTTGAAGAGAAAAGTGTATGATATGTCCTAGATGGCTTTCAATTCAGTCTAGCATTCTGGTACATGTAGCTGGGTGTCATTAGACACAGACAATTGTTATTGGTTACATGTGGTTTTCTCTGGGATCTTGTAAGGCACAGTTTATTGAAGAGATGTCCAGAGGATCTCTTCAACAGGTTAGTCCTGTCAGGAGACCGGCTGTATCAGTTTTTCAGCGCTCGCACTGGACTCTCCAAAAGTGTTTCATGTGATGAGTTGGGGGCATTTGTCATGGCAGGCTGCATCTCAGTTAAACTCCAAACAATCTGAAATGGCCACACTCCTGACAGCCATAAACTCAGACATGTGATTTCCAATAAACAAGTTCAAATAGATATCTTAAGTCATGTGACTTCAGTGGGTGCTTTTAAAACAAATGTCCAAAGTATCTTTTTAGTGACCATGGAAAGAAAACAGGTCCTGGTATCTCCTCAGTACTTCAAAGGAACACGTTCCCAGAATTTTTTAGACATAAATATTCAGAAATATTAATAATTGAAACCCCTTCATAACATTGCATACTTCTGACTAAATGACACAACATGACACCAAATAAGGAGAAATTGTTTCAGTTGCAGAAGTATTAGTAACCAGATGACACAGATTTAAGGTGATTGCCAAAGCATTGTGAGGTGAGATAAATAACACCTTTTTACACAGTGAGTTGTTACTGTCTGTATTGCAGTGATTGGAACCAGTTTCAATAGTCACATTCAAATGCTAGTAAATCTCTTCTGAATGCTCTCCAGCTTAATGATATCATTCCTGCAGCCGGGCAACCAAAACTGAACACAGTATTCCAGAAGAGGCCACACCAACGTCCTGTATACCTCAACATGACATCCCAACTCCTATACTCAAAGGACTGAGCAATCCAACTACAGAGGCTCAAGGGGGAAGCCCATCTCCAACCTCTTGGGTTAATTTGAGCTGTAAATGCTGGACTTGCCAACAGCATCTGCATTTCAAAAATGTATAAGAAAAGGTTAAGCCTGTGAAGGCATAATTCACCCAGAGTTGTCCTAGAATTTGAGATTATTTTGTGGCCCTGCTCTACCAAGAACTTTATGGATAATATTTATATACACACAACTGTCATCAAAAAATGGGCTGAAATTAAAGCCAGAATGTTTTTAGAAAGGTGGAATTACTATACCTTACAAGTGTTCTGGGACAGTTCAGCTGAGTATCTTGGTGGAGGCGTCTTAGAGGAATGAGTTCTAATACCTCAATTAGGTTGACGAAAGTTCTCGGAACCTGAAACAAGGTAAAAGGTCAGAGTTAAAGGTGACAGAGCAACAGAAGTCTAAACTGAGTTGGAAAAATGGTCTTATATGCAGAGTCTCAAATAGTTGTTTGGTAGCGTAGAACCTGGGCATTCCTCCAAAATAAAAGACACATCTTATTGAAGCTTTTCATCTCATCAGGACAATTTGCAAGAATACCAAATTAAACAGGGAACAACACCTATTCTGCATGGGACGAGAGTGCTGATTGGCTGTGCATTCTGATTTGTAAACAAAATGTGCCTTTGTTCAGCAATATGCACAGTATTCATTTTGCAGATGTGTAAAGTACTCAATGACAGTTTTTGTACGGATGGTGTATTATTAATAAAACATGCATTTCTTTGCTGGTGAAGGATAATCTCCCATAGCATAATGTCAGCATTAGCCCACCTTAAAAATACTAAATGACTTGGCCTTCACAGCCCTCTGTGGCAATGTGTTCCACAGATTCACCACCTTCTGGCTGAAGACATTTGTCCTTAACTCAGTTCTCAAGGGTCATTCTTTCTCTCTGAAGCTGTACCTGCGGGTCCTCGTCTCTCCTACTTCTCCATGTACACCCAATCCAGGCCTCTCAGTATTCTGTAAGTTTCAATGAAATCCCCTCTCATCCTTCAAAACTTCATTGAGTATAGATCAGAGTCCTCAACCACTCCTCATATTACAAACTCTTGATCCCTGCGATCATTCTCATAAACCTCCTCTGGATCTACTTCGATGCCAGCACATTCTTTCTTAGGTACAGGGTCCAGAACTGCTCACAATATTCCAAATGATGTTTGACTGGAGCATTACGTAGCCTCGGCAGTATATCTCTGCTGTTGCATTCTAGCCCTCTTGAAATGCCTTCCTAACCGTCAACTGAACCTGCACATGAACTTTATTAAGAGAATCCTGAATGAGAACTCCTAAGTCCTTGCCCCTGACAAATGGGATCTTATTTAGCTGCCTTCCATGCAGTATCTTGTCGAGAGCCCCTTGGAACCCCAAAAAGATCATGTTCACTGTAACTTGTTTTTTACCTCCTCAATGAAGTCGGGCATGACCTCCCCTTGACAAAGCTGTGCTAACTTAGCCTATTTTACAATGCACTTCCTAGTACTCCACAATCCTATCCTTAATATCGGACCCTGAAATCTTGCCAATGACTAAGTTCAGGTCAACCAGCCTATAATTTCCTCTCTTCTGTCCTTCACTTCTTAAATAGCAGCGTTACATCAGCCATTTTCCAGTTCTCTAGGACCCTCCCCAACTCCAGTGATTCCCGAAAGACTACAACCAATGTCTCTACAATCTTCTTAGCTATTTCCTTAGAACTCTGGGTGTAGTCCATCCATGTCAGATGATGTTTTCCACCTTTAGACCTCTCAGCCTCCCCAGCACCTTCTCTTTACCTTTGCCCCCTGACTCTCTTGAAGTTCTGGTATCCTGCTGGTGTCTTACACTGTGAAGACTGATGCAAAGTACCTATTCAGATTCTTTGCTATTTATTTGTTACCCATCACTACTTCGCCAGCCTGATGTTCAAGCAGTTCAATGTCCACTCTTGCCTCTCTCTTACCTTTTATATATGTTAAAAAACACATGAAATATTGTTTTATATTACTAGCTAGCTTACTCTCATATTTCATCTTCTCCTTTCCTTATTGCTTCTTCAGTTATCCTCTGGTAGTTTTTAAAGGCTTCCCAATCCTCTCACTTCCCACTAACCTTCACCACATTGTAGGCATTTGTCAATATGCTGTTCCTGACTTCCCTTGTCACCATGGTTTCCTTATCATCCCCTTAGTATATTTCTTCTATCTTGGGATGAATTTCTGCTGTGCCTCCTTAATTTGCCCAAGAAACTCCTGCCATTGCTGTTCCACTATCTTCACCGCGAGGCTCCTCTTCCATTTAACTCTGGCCATCTCTTCCTTCATGTCTTTGCAGTTACCTTTACTCAGTTGAAATACTATTACATCTGATTCCAGCTCCTCACTCTCAAACTTCAGAGTGAATTCTATCATATAATGGTCACTGCCCCCTAGGGGTTCCTTCACCTTAAGCTCCCTAATCAAGTCTGCCTCATTACACATTACCAAATCCAGAATTGCCTGTTCCCTAGTGGGCTTTACCACAAGCTGTTCCATAACACCATCTCATAGACATTCCACAAACTTCTTTTCTTGAGGGTCTGTTACCAACCTGATTTTGCCAGTCCACCTGTATGTTGAAGTTCCCCATGATCATTGTAATAGTGCCTTTCTTACATGTCTTTTCTATCTCCTAGCTTATTATCTTCCCTACATCCTGACTACTGCTTGTTCCTTTTCCTTTTTCCATTGTAGTCCCCAACTCTACTCATACAGATTGTATGCCTTCTGACTCCATATCATTTCTTGCTTTCAATTCAATTTCATTTCTTACTAACAAGTCAACCATGCTCCCCAACGCCACACCCCTGGTCCATCTGCTTGTCTTTTTGATAGAACGTATACCCTTAGATATTTAGTTTCCAGCCCTGATGCCCTTGGGCCCACAACATCGTATCCACCAATTTCACCTGTGGTACAAGCTCATTTACCTTGTTCATATACTATGTGGATTTAAGTACAACGCCCTTAAAATATCCTGCATTGACAGTCCCCTTTCTCAAAGTCAACCCCTTATCTGCTACCCCTTTCGCTACTGTCTGTCTGACGACTTGTTCTGGAAATTTTAATAACGTGAGTCTTGACTCACGAATTTGATTGAGTTTTTTGAGAAAGTGATGAAGGTGATTGATGAGGGTAAGGCAGTAGACGCTGTCTACATGGACCTTACCAAAGCTTTTGACAAGGTCACCATGGTAGGTGATCCAGAAGATTAAATCATATGGAACCCATGATGAGTTGGCAAGTTGGAGACAAAATTGACTCGGCCATGGAAGACAGAAGGTAGTTGTGAAGGGGTATTTTCCAACTTCTTCAAACCAGTGCATTCTGCAAGGATCAGTCCTAGGACATCTGTTGTTTGTGATATGTATAAATGATCTAGGTGAAAATGTCTGTGGGCTGATTAGTAAGTTTACAAATAACATGAAAATTAGAGATGTTGTGAAAACACAGGAAGAATTTCAAAGGATCCAGAGGTATATAGATCAACTGGAAAGTTGGGCGGAGAAATGGCAGATGGAGTTTAATCTAGACAAGTAAGGAGTGATGCATTTTGGGAAGTCAAATGGAAGAGGAAAGTATACCTTAAATGGTCAGACCCTTAGGTGCATTGATGTACAGAGGGATCTTGGAGTCAAAGTCCATAGCTCTGTGAAAGTGGCAACACAAGTGCATAACGTGATAAAGAAGGCTGCTTGCCTTCATCGTTCGGGCATTGAGCATAAAATTTGGCATGTCATGTTGCAACTGTACAAGAATTCGATCAGGCCACGTTTAGAATGTTATGCTCAGTTCTGTTCACCGCACCATAGGAAGAATGTGGAGGCATTGGAGAGAGCGCAAAAGAAGTTTAACAGGATGTTGTCTGGATTAGAGTGAATTAACTATACTGAGAAAGTGAAAAAACTTGGATTGTTCTCATATGAGTGTCGGAGGCTGAGGGGTGACCTGATAGAAGTATATAAAATCATGAGAGGCCTGGATAGGGTAGATATTTGGAGTCTCTTTCCCTGGAGTGGAAATATCAAATATGGGGAGGTATGGGTTTAAAGTGAGAGAGGAAAAGTTTGAAAGAGATGTACGAGGCAAGTTTTTATATACAGGGGGTAGTAGGTGCCTGGAATGTGTAGTTAGGGGAGGTGGCAGAGAAGATACGACGGCAACGTTTAGGAGGCATTTAGGCAGACACATGAACGGGCAGAGAATAGAGTGATATGGACCCTTTGCAGGCATCATGGTCAACACAGACATGGTAGGCCGAATGACCTATACTGTTCTAAGTTCTATGTCATAATATAAACCCTCCATCCCAGGTATTAGTCGAGTGAACTTCCTCTGAATTGCTTCTAACACATGTGTATCATTACTTAGGTAAGGAGACCAACGCTATCCACAGCATTCTAGATGTGCTCCTAACAATGCCCTGAACAAATGCAGTAAAACATCTTTACTCTTATATTCCATTCTTCTCGCAATAAATTCCTTTTTCCTTCCTAATCATTTGTTGAGTCTGTTGTTTAATCTTTTGTGATTCAGGACACCAGATCCCTCTGTTCGTCAGAGCTCTGCAGTCTGTCTCTATTTAGATAACGAAGTCAGAAGTCATACGAGACCAGGTTATAGTCCAACAAGTTTATTTGAAATCACGAGCTTTCGGAGCGCTGCTCCTTCATCAGATGAGCTATAACCTGGTATCATGTGACTTCTGATTTTGTCCACCCCAGTCCAGCATTGGCACCACCACATCATTTAATTAACACGCTGCTTTACTATTTCTCCTGCAAAAGTGGAAGTTCACATTTACTCACATTAGACTCCATCTGCCAAATTTTTGCTCACTCATTTAACGTACATAAATCCCTCTGCAAACTCCTCATGTCCCCCTTATAATTTAGAGATAGTAGGAACTGCAGATGCTGGAGAATATCTGAGATAACAAGGTGTAGAGCTGGATGAATACAGCAGGCCAAGCAGCATCAGAGGAACAGGAAAGCTGACCTTGTTATCCCTTCATAATTTAGTTTTCTACCTATATGTGTGTTGTAGCAAATTCAGCAACCACAGATTTGACACTATTTTTAACTTTCTTGGTTAGTGCTGGATGGTATATGTCCCTCCCAAGGGTTTTCTTACACACTAGAATGTATTTTTTGCTGTGTGTTCTGAAATAGCTCCTTAAATGTCCATCAATGCATGTCTCTTGGACTATCCCCTAACTTAATTGACTAACTCTGTCTTCCTTTCCTCATAGTTACCCTTATTTAAGTTTAAAACTTTAAGGCAAGTCATTTTTTTGCAAAGCTTTGAAATGCGTCCAAGGGATTTTGCAGAACAACATACAGCGGCAAGTCTTCATTCTCCCACAGTGATATACAGACACCTTTGCAAGGGGTAACAACTAGGTATTCTGCTGGGTTTGTTTACATACGTAGGTAACTGTTCACTTAGTAAATAGTGCTAAATGAGGATCCTTACTGTGTTTCTGGGCAGAATTTCAAATCCTGCAGTTGACTCAATCCCGAATCATGTGCATGGCCTCATCTAAATTCTTTCGGACCAGGTAGGCTGAACCATAGAAGTACAATAATGGGGTCTGCCCCTGAGCCTTCCCACACTGGGATCCAATCAAGGCAAATGTGAAAAGGGTGGAAGAGACCCCCACCTGCCAAATTTAATGCTTCCACACCTTCAACCTCTCATTATGGACCAGTGCTAAATTTCACCCCTTATTTCTATTGCTAGACACTGAGCAAAAATTAGGGAGCAAAGCAATGGAACGCTAGTTCCCAGTGAATATTGCTAATGTCAGATAAGACCAACCCAAGTTAACTGAAAATGAATATGGGTTAAACATAATTTCAGGCTTGATACAAATTGCTCCTCTGTTGTAGGGAAGATAAGAACAATAAGACATGCTCTTGCAATTCAAGATAAGCCATTTAAATACTTCACGCAGAGTTGTGAACTTGAGTGCACTGCCTGCTACACAACTTGGTGTTTACAGAATCCATACTGGGGCTGAAGGTATTGAGGAAAATAGAGACTAGGTAGTGAAGTTGGAGTGCAAAATATGAACAGTCACCAAATTTAATGATGGGTCAAGCACAATGAGTTCAATGTTATTCACTAGGTATGTTTCATTTAAAAATGTTCCCAATACTTCTTCAAAGTCAGAGCTGATGATTTTATTAATAATTTGATGATGGTTGGATTCTCTTGTGCTGAAATGTTTTGTGAAATACATTACACTTGAAGAAACACCGTTTTTAAGCATGATAGAGACATCAAACTCAGAAAACAGGCAATGTGAAGACGAGAGGAGAAAGATTTAAAAGGGGCCTGAAGGTAACTTTTTCACACAGAGGGTGGTTTATATGTGGAATAAACTGCCAGAGGGAGTGGTAGTTGGAGGTACAGAAACAACATTTAAAAGACATTTGAACAGGTGTATGAACAGAAAAGATTTAGAGGGGTATGGGCCAAACACAGGCAAATGGGACTAGTTTAGTTTGGGAAATCCTGGTCAGTGTTGGACTGAAGGGTCTGTTTCCGTGCTGTGACTCTGTGACTCTAAGTACACTGTAAAATACTAAGATCATGTCGCTCCAAAAGACCAAGTCAGAGCCTTTTAACAGATCAAACAGAAAACGCTTTTTCTTCCCTTCTGGGTTCAAGTTAGGGCATCAGCTCTCTTTGATGTCTAAAGACCCAAGCCAAAACGAAGTTGGATTTGATTTATTGATTGTCACATTACTTTGTTACAAAATACAGTGAAAAGTGTTGTGTCGTGTCACCACTCTCCAGCACCATCTTAAAACATAGAAAAATAAACCAATACATAGAATGTAAAGGCAGAAAAATAAAGAAATAAAGAAACGTCAGCCTTCCTGCTCCTCTGATGCTGCTTGGCCTGCTTTGTTCATGCAGCTCTACACCTTGTTATCTCTATTAAAGAAAAGGTGTTCGGGTCTTCTTGTTAAGTGTTCTGCTTTTAACAGGTGTAGTTTCTAAGGAGGGCGAGCTGGTCAGATTTCCCAATATAGCCCTGAGAATGCCCTCAAACTTGTCACTGATGATGGTCTTGGGTGTGGATTGAAGACTTTCCTGCCTGCTCCCCAACTGGGATTTAAGACTGAGCTTTACATGGATGGAAATAAAGCAGATTTGGGACCTACTACCCCACCTAGGGGACTCAACCTTGTATTTCCCAAACATTTGAGAATTCGATCAGAATGACTGCTACGTTGATTATTTTCCTCCTATCATCACAGTCAGGCACTTGTCCAATTCAGTAAATTTTTTGTTTGAGGATTATTTTACCCACTTTGCCTCAAAAGATATTAGCACCAAACACTAATTTAAGAGTCTGGAATGGAGGGGTAGAATCCAAGGAGTTGAGGTGTTAACTGGGACCTACCTCTTTGTGAAGGATGTCCAAAGCTTCTTCAATTCGCCTTGCAAAGTTTACAGCAGAGTAATAAGCCTAAGAAGAACAAAGAAAACAGTCAAAGCAAACTCAGTAACCTGCAAGTACATAGGACCCAGGAACCACAAATCGCTACTGGTTGATAAATTTCTACTTGCACCCAAAATGGCTGCAAAATCACAACATCACTGTGTCCCCATCCATGCAGACTTGGCGACAGATTTATGTTAGCTCCCAGTCTTATTAAAATGATACCAGACTCCTGCTACAACTAAATAGTGGCGAATGATGGAAAATTGTGAGGAGCCCATCCTGAGCCAGTGGCAGATGGGGTCTGGAAATTGAATCAGGCAGCAGTGAGGTATTGATCATGTCAATGGATTGGTATTCCAGGGGCAAAGGCTGATGCTCTGGGGATATAGGTTTGATTCTTACCATGGCAAATAGAGAAGTTTGAAATCAATAAATTAAAAGAAGCAAGTCTAATAGTAACCATATAATCACCGTCAATTGTTTTAAAAACTCATTTGATCCACCAATGCCCTTCAGTGTTCTGAAGAAGGGTCACCAGAATTGAAACATTAACTCTGCTTTCTCTTCACAGATGCTGCAAGAGCTGCTGAGTTTCTCCAGCAATTTCTGATTTTGAGGTGGATACTTCGTTAGCTTATTCATAGGCACAAGTGCAGAATGGCCTCCTTATGTTCTGTACGATGCTGTGGAGGCCATTTTCACCTTACCTGCCAATCAGGAAAACTGTTGAGATCTAGAGAAGGGCTGGTTTCAGATTTTATTCTCTGTGAAATCAGGTCAATCGCTGACATGCAAAACTGCTGATTAACCCAATCCCATGGGGTGTTTTCTAGGTAGACAAACAGGAGGCTGGGAAGAAGGGTAATATCCGAAACGTTGACTGCTCCTTTTCTCCAGATGCTGCCTGGCCTGCTGTGTTCTTCCAGCCTCCTGTTTGTCTCCCTTGGATTCCAGCATCTGCAGTTTTTTTTTTGTCTCTATCCATGGATTTTCTGTCTGACCAGTCCAGTTTAAAGGAAACCCCAACTATTCGAAGAGAACAATGTCATTCTGGATCTCAAGCAATTTGCTTACCAAATCAGTGCAGTAATTGCAGATGTCATTTCCACCAATAAACATGTTGATAATCTTCCAGTCATTCTGAAAATCGATTTTCTAGAACAGAAAACAAGAAATGCCGTAGCTGTTTTAGCCACTTCAATTGCAGAGATTGACCATTGGGTGAAGCCATTGGCTAAATTCACTGATTTCATGCTTCAAGTAGGAAAGTGATGGTAGCGTAGTGGCAATATTACTGGGTTAATAATCTAAAGGTTTAGGCTAATGGTCCAGAGATGTGAGTTTAAAACCCACCTGGTGAACTTAAATTCAATTAAATAATACATCTGGAATTAGCTACAAGTATGAATGTTCTGATTGATTCACTTATTCCATTTGGAGGAAGTCAGAAATCACATGACACCAGGTTATTGTCCAACAGGTTTATTTGAAAACATGATCTTTAGAGCCTCAGTCTTTCTTCAGGTGAGTCAGGGCATGTGACTGCAGACTCACATTAACTTTTATTAATTAACTCTTATCTACTCTCTGACACGGCTGGGCAAGCCACTTAGTTGTACCTAACCATTAGAAAAGTGAATGGGCATTAAATCAAAGGGTCCATCCAGCACTGATGTTCATGAGATGATCTGTTGTGGGGCACAGGTAGTTAGGGATGAGCAATAAATCACAGCTTTGTTGTTGGCCACATCTCATGAGCCAATTAGAAGCATAATATCATTGGCAATGACCATGTCTGTAATGCTATAGGGCCGAATTCATCAAACTACACCTCTTCACACAAAGCTGCTCAATGAGACCTTATAGAGGTTTATAAAATCATGAGGGGCATGGATAGGATGAATAGCCAAGATATTTTTCTCAGGGGAGGGGAGTCCAAAACTAGAGGGCATAGGGTTAAGGTGAAAGGGGAAAGATACAAAAGGGACTTAAGGGGCAACATTTTCATGCAGAGGGTGATGTGTGTATGGAATGAGTTGCCAGAGGAAGTGGTGGAGGCTGGTACAATTAAAACATTTAAAAGGCATTTGGATAGGTATATGAATAGGAAGGGTTTAGAGGGATATGGGCGAAACACTGGCAAATGGGATTAGATTTATTTAGGATATCAGATTGACCTGGACGAGTTGGACTAAAGGGTCTGTTTCTGTGCTGTTCATCTCTATGACTGTCTGACTCTATAAGTTCCCACCAGTGTGAAGAAAAATGTATAATCCGCCATGGAATTCAATGTGAGTAGGCTGAGTCATCCCTCAATGCCCTGTCTGCATTGTGCCTCAGTTAACGAAGGCTTGGCTGATTGGGAAATCTAAAACACAGTGCTACAGTCCCAGCATAAGGTCATGATCATTCATTACTGATGTAAGGAGGAAGGTCTTCTCTCAAAAACTGTGAATCTTTAGCATTCTCTACCCTCAGAGAAGTGTGGGATATTCAGTTGTTGAATACCATATATTGAGAGTTGATTTGGAATCAAGGGGCAGAGGGAGCATAAGCAGAAAGCACCACTCACCAGTGAGGCTTTCCAATTTGGAATAAAGATTCAGAAAGCAAAGATTTAACATAACTGGAGAACACTTACTGGATGATTTTTCATGATGTCCACTAATCTTCTCACTTGACCTGGAAGATCCCTGCTCATTGAGAGAAAAACATGCAGTTGATGCATAACATTTTGCATTTAGATTTTCCTTCTTACTCTTTTTCAACAGTCCCCATTAACAACTACTCACCCTCCCAGCCTGATCGTTAGCAACTCCTTTGTCTGTCCAACTGTCTTTCTCTCTCTTTGGGCTCTATCTTATTGTTTCCTCCCTACCTCACCCACCTCCCTATTTTCTGTATATAAACTGACGTTTTCCCAGCCACCATCACTTCTGAGGAAGGGACACTGGACCTGAAATGTTAACTTTGTTTTCTCCTCCACAGATGCTGCCAGACCTGCTGAGCTTTTCCAGCAACTTTGTTTTTGTTACCAATTAAAAATCTGTCTAACTCCTCCTTAAATTTACTCACTGTCCCAGCATCCACCACACTTTGGGGTAGTAAATTCTACAGATTCACCACCCTTAGGGAGAAGTAATTTCTCCTCAACTCTGTTTTACATTTGCTACCCCTTATCCTAAGACTATGACTCCTTGTCCTAGAATGCCCCACAAGTGGAAGCATCCGCTCTATACCTTTTTTCATCTTGAATACCTCAATTTTATTTCCCCTCATTCTTCTAAATTCCAGACAGTATAGGCCTAAACTGTTCAATCTCTCTTCATATGACAAATTCCTCATCTCTGGGATCAATCTAGTGAACCTCCTCTGAACTGTCTCCAATGCCACTACATCTTGCCTCAAATAAGGGGATCAAAACTGTGCACAATATTCCAGGTGTGGTCTCATCAATGCCTTGTATAGTTGCAACAATACTTCCTTACCTTTATATTCTATTCCTTTAGCTATAAAAGCCAACATTCCATTCACTTTCTTTATTATCGGCTGTAGCTGCATGCTAGTTTTCTGAGACTCATGAATGAGGACATCCAGATGCCTCTGCACTGGAGTCTTTGGGAGCACCCTGAAGTCTCTCCCCATTTAGATAATTGATTGCCTTCCCATTTTTCCAACTAAAATGCGTGACCTCACACGTATCCACATTAAACTCCATCTGCCACATTTTGGCCCACTCTCCTAACCTATCTATATCCATTTATAAGGTTCTTATTTCCTCATTGCAATTTACTGTCCTGATTATTTTTGTGTTGCCCGCAAATTTGGCTATAGAGCCTTCTATCCCAGTACCAAGTCATTAATGTTGATTGTAAATAGCTGGGGTCCAAGGACTGAACCCTGTGGTACCCAACTAGTTACTTCTTGCTCATGGTAGGATATGCTTATTATCATTGATTCATTGGAAGTCTGTACTGCTGGCTAGGCTAATATTTATAACCCCTGAAGAATTGACCTTGAGAAGCCATTGATGAGCAGCCTTTATGACCAAAATAGAAACAGAAATTTCTGGAGAATCTCAGTAAGTTTACCAGCCTATGTGGAGAAAGAAACAGAGTTAACGTATTGAGTCCTGTATGACACTTTTCCAGAATTAGAACAGTTGAAACTGTTTCCGCTAAGGACAATATCTGAGGAACTGATGCCAACAGCACTGGTTCAATTCCTGCACCAGCTGAGGTTACCATGAAGGTAACTTCTTTCCTTCTCACACTCACACCTCATCTGTGGCGTGGTGACCCTCAGTTTAAACCCACCACCAGTTGTCTTTCTCTAATGAGGGAGCAGTTCTATGCTCCTCTAGGACTATGGTCACCTTACCTTAATTGAGGTGGTAGTGTCCCTACCTCAGATCCAAGGGGCCCAGGTTCAAGCTCCACCTGACCTACAGGTATTTAATTACATCTCTGATTGGCTGATTGGAAAATATCTACCTTCAGGAACTCCTGCGGAGATGTCATGGAACTGAGATGATCAAACTCCAACCACCATGACCATCTAGGTATGATTCCAACCAGTAGACCTCCGTGATATGACTTCTATGATAATAGACTCCTTGATGTCATACTTATTCAAATGCAGCTTGGAGATCAGTGGCAGGAGCTATCTCCTGTTCTCTGAAATTCTTTGGACCAAGGTGGAAATGAGGTCTGGAGTTAAGTTGCTCTGACAAAACCTAAAGCGAATATTGTTGAGCAGATAATTGCTACGTAAATGTCACTTGATAACACTGTCAATGATGTCTTTCTGGGCAAAATCCCACATTGTTAAGTGGATGCCAGTGTACTAGCTATACTGGATCAGATTGGCTAGAGGACAAAACCCAGGTCATTAGTATATTGCAGCCAGGATGTTGTCAGTGCCCATAGCCTTTGCTGCATCTAGTGCCTCAGCCGTTTCATATGATGTTGAGAGAATCAAATTGGCGGAAGTGGGAATAATTAGAGGACAATAAATGGAATGTTTTCTAATGAATGTTCTGCTGCAGTGCACAGGTTACATTGAGGAACACAAAACTATGCCTCATCGATGGGACAGTCATGGAACCAAACATAAATACACACGCAGCTAACGCTCCAGGAAAAGCTTGATTCAGGAATGTTTTGGGGTTTTCAAGATTTCCCTTTCCAGTTGAAAATCCAGTCAATGAAGGGTTAAATTCACGAAGAATATCTAAAAGAAAGAATACTAGGAGCTATTAAGCAGAAAACAATATTTACTGCTACACAAGCAGTTAACAAATTCAAAGGAAAGTTGAAAATCAGTAATATGCTTCGGTAGATGGTTTCTGATGTATGTTACCATTAGAGAGGTCATGAAATAAACATTAAAATAGAAGCAGACAGTACTGGAGAAACTCGGCAGGTCTGACAACATCTGTGAAGATGGAAACAAGGTTAACTTTTCAAGTCCGATATGATTTTTCTTCAAACCTCAATCTACATTCATCCATATACATAGAATCATAGAATTCCTATAGTGAGGAAAGAGGCCTTTCGGCCTATTGAGTCTGTACCAACCCTCCAAAGAGCATCCCATCTAACCCCAGTTGACTACCTGATCCCAATATTTTCTGCTCTTGTTTCAGATCTACAGCTTGCACGTATGTTTCTTTTATTTGGATGATGCACATTTGCTAGTTTATTGTATTGTTTAAATATCTGTTACAAAGGTACTCAGAATATTTGGAAAGAATGCTACAAAGCAAAGGTTGTCACCTATAGCAGCAACCATGTCGTATTTTCAAAGAACAAGCAACTTAGATGGAGAAACTGAGCCTGCACCACTTTCAAAGAGAGTTCACATGACTCCGTTCGGATTCAATCAGCGAAAGGTTGCTATCTATGTTATGTTTCTTTCTCTTTATCTCTCTCTCTCTCTCTCTCTTTCCCTAAATCATTTCTCATCAAAGTGTGTGAGTTGAAAACTCACTGGAAGAACTCATTGCCACAAATGGAGAGTTCTTAAATGAGAAGTTCAGAGAAGGTTTACTACACTGTAGGGTGACAGAGTGGCAGTACTACTGCCTCCCAGCACCAGGGACTCATGTTCGATTCCAAACTGTGACTCTTGTGTGGAGTTTGCACATTCACCCTGTGACTGTGTGGGTTTCCTCTGGATGCTCCGATTTCCTCCCACAGTCCAAAGGTGTGCAGGTTGGGTGGATTGGCCATGCTAAATTGTCCATAGTGTCCAGCGGTGTGCAGGCTAGGTGGATTAGCCATGGGAAATGCGGGGTTACAGGGATAGGGTAGGGAGGTGGGTCTGGGTGGGATGCTCTTCAGAGAGTTGATGGGCTGAATGGCCTGCTTTTACACTGTAGGGGTTCTATGATTCTTCCATGAATAATATCCAGAATGAGTGATTGTCTTATGAGGAAAGGCCAGGCAAACTAGGCCTGTATCCTCTGGAGATTAGATGAGTAAAAGGTAACGTAATTGAAACATATTAGACAGTGACTGGACTTGACAGGGTGGATGTTGAAAAGATGTTTCCTCTTGGGGAGAATGTATAAGTCAAGATCACAGTTTAAATAAAGAGGGTATCCATTTAAGATGGAGAAAAGGAAACTTTCTTTTCTTCCTGGAGGGTTGTGAGTCTTTGGAATCCTCAAAAGGGAGTGGATGCAAAATCTTTAAATATTTTTAAGACAGAGGTAAATAGATTCTTCATGACCAATGGGATGAAAAATTATCGGGGATATGCAGGAATGTAGAGTCGAGGTTAAAAATCAGTTCAGCCATGTTTTTATTGAATGTTGGAACAGGCTCAAAGGGCCAAGTGTCCTATTCTTGTTCCATGTTCATAAATCTGCATCTTATACCACTGTCTCCAGGAATAGAGACTTCAACTAACTATAACTGATCCAGGAAAAAACACCTGGTACCAGGAGCTTGTGAGGAAGGTGACTTTGTTGCAGACCAGCATTTGGACAATTTGTCAATAATTCCCTTTTGTCTAAATTTAACTGCTGCTTGACAAATGTACATTTAAGATTACAATCCTCAAAGTTTTATATACATTTTTCCGAGCTTGGAGAGTGTATGTGCATTTTATTCCTCAAGATGGGTAGTTGGATGTACATGCACATTTCAAAGCCTGTTGTCAATAATCTTTGCTTGTGTAAGATTTCTGTTTAATAAACTATTACTTTGTTGGTTAACATATGGAATCTGGCTGACTTGTTTCTGGTACTGAGCTATATACAGTCTAATATATACATTTTCTGTACAGGGCCAGGAAAAGACAACTCCTCTTAACTAAAGATGACACTTGCTTATCGGTTTTTATGTACAATTTATTTTAAAATACTTCTGCAGTCATGAAATATCTACACTCATGTGTGCATCTCAGCTTCTAGTAGCTTCAATGATTTTTTTCATTTTTAGTCTCTGAAATCATACCCAGACCTAACCACTCAAACACTGCAAGCACAGATCAGTCAGCAAACTGATCATAATCAAACACAGAACAATTGAACATGGCAGACAAAGAATAGCATTTGACACATCCTGATTAGAATTAACTCACATTCCTTCCATTCAACAGCCTGTATAGCTCACAAACAAAACTACTTACTGTACTTAGGTACACATGACAATAAATCAAATCAATCAATCAAATGGAGTGCATAAAGTTAGAATTAAGGGAGACAAATTTTAAGACTGAAATGAGGAGGAATTTCTTCTGTCGCATTCAACAGTTGTTTAACTGGTCTTCACTTCCACTACCTTCCTTTTATGTCAATTTTGCATCATAATCACGCTTTGCATTAAAGACCTTTCTACTTATTAAATTATGGTATTTATCATTCAATAATGAATCTATTGTAGTTTCTGAGCTTACAGGACATATTCCCAGTGGATAACTAAGTTTCCCTCACTGAAAATTCCATTCTTTTGCAGTTGAATCTTCAGCAGATATAAGCCTAGCCTGTCCAATCCCGCCTCCTAGGATAATCTGTCTTTTAAAGGTCTGGTAAACCCTGTCTGAACTGTTACCAATGCATTTTCAATCTTTCTGAAATAAGATGAGCAATATTGTACACAATACTCCAGATGCAGTCTCACCAGTGCCCTGTATAACAAAAACATAATTTTATATTTGATTCCCTTCACAATAAATGATAACATTTGATTAGTTTTCCTAATTACTTGACGTATTTACATTCTAATGATTTGTGATTCATCCACTACGTCACCCACATTCCTCCACATCTCAGAGCTCTCCAACATCTCATCAAGAAGAATTTTTTTTATTCTACTTGCTAAAATGGATAATTTAGCATTTTCCCACATTATACTCCATTTACCAGATTTTTGCCGCAATCAGTGAAGATGGGTAACTAAACCTCCTCTGCAATAACACTCAACACTGGAGCCCCCCAGCAATGTGTCCTCAGCCCCCTATTGTACTCCCTGTACACATATGACTGTGTTGCCAAATTCCAAATGAACGCCATCTTCAAGTTCGCTGACAACACCACCGTAATGGAACAGATATTTAATAATGACAAGTCAAGCTACAGAAGGGAGATAGAGGGCTTGGTGACATGGTACAATAAAAACAAACTGTCTCTCAACGTCAGCAAATCTAAAGAACTGCCCATTGAATTCAGAAAGAAAGGAAGAGGACACACCTCCATCTACATCAACGGAACTGAAGCTAAGAGAGTGAATAGCATCAAGTTCCTCGGAGTGACAATAACCGATGACCTGTCCTGGACTTCTCACGTAAATGCGACAGTCAAGAAGGCACAACAATGCCTCTTCTTCCTCAGGTGGCTCAGGAAATTTGGCATATCCATAAGGTCCCTCACCAACTTCCACAGATGTGTGCATAACGGCCTAGTATGACAATGCTTTGCCCAGGGCCGTGAGAAACTACAGAAGGTGGTGTGCACAGCCCAGACCATTACGGAAGCCAACCTTCCATCCCATGGACTCCATTTGCACGGCTCACTGCAGTGGAAAGGCTGCCAACAACATCAAAAACCCATCGCACCCCGGTAATGATCTCCTACAACCTCTTCAATCAGGTAGAAGATACAGAAGCCTGCGCACATGCACCAGCAGGTTCAGGAACAGCTTCTTCCTGGCCATTATTACACTGATAAATGGACTCTGTAGCCTCAAATAATGCTGATCTTGCTAACATTTATCTTGCCTGGCGCACGCCCTGTGCAATGTAACCTGTATGCCTCTAAGTCTTTTCGATCTGTATATTCTTTGCTTACTATGATCTACCTATACAGCTCATAAATGAAGCTTTTCGCTGTATTTTGGCACATGTGACAATAAATAAATCAATCAATCAATCAATCAAAGAACTTCAATAGATTGGTTAAACATCACTTTCCTTTCATAAAACCATATTGACTCTGTCAGATTACCTTAAACACATCTAAATACCTTTAAAACTAATATCTTTAAAACTAATAGTTCCCTATGACAGATGTTAGGTTAACTGGCCAGTAGTTGGAGTCCAATCCCTGTACACTTGCATTCCCCACGTAGATGGCCTAAAAACCCTTTGCTTCATCCTCTCCCGCAGGCCCGACCAGTACCCCTCCACCGACACCTTTATCCACCTAACCGAAAACGTCCTTACCCTTAACAACTTCTTCTTCAACTCCTCCTACTTCCTATAGACGAAAGGAGTGGCCATGGGTACCCGCATGGGCCCAAGCTATGCCTGCCTCTTTGTGGGATACGTGGAACAGTCCCTCTTCTGTAGCTACACTGGCCCCATCCCCCACCTCTTCTTCCATTACATCGATGACTGTATTGGCGCCGCCTCGTGCTCCCACGAGGAGCTCAAACATTTCATCAACTTTACTAACACCTTCCACCCCAACCTCAAGTTCACCTGGACCATCTCTGATACCTCCCTCTCCTTCCTGTACCTCTCTGTCTCCATCTCTGGAACCACCTTGAAACTGATATCTATTTCAAGCCCACCGACTCCCACAGCTACCTAGGATACACCTCCTTTCACCCACCTTCCTGCAAGGATGCGATCCCCTATTCCCAATTCCTCTGCCTCCGCTGCATCTGCTCCCAAGATGAGGTGTTCCACTCCTGGACATCCTAGATGTCCTTGTTTTTCAAGGACCGCAATTTCCACACCACCCCCACAAGTTCTTCTTGCCTTTATCGTTTTTCTTTTACATTTCTCTTTATCATTTCAAATCATTTCCAAATTCTGGTTTCCTGAAATTTGATTATCCCTCTTTGCTGTGCTAACAGAGCCACCCTAGCGTTTCCCAGCTTCCTGCCCATCCTAAATATCCTGTACCCTTCAACATTCAAGTCCTAATCTGTGAATTCCTGCAGCCATATCTCTGTAATAGCTGCACGATCATATTTATTTATTCCGTTATGTGTTTGGTATTTTTTTAAAAAGGCTTAGCGAAATCAAATGTCCACAGATGAGTCTCCCAGTCTCAGACCAGAACAACAGCAGAAATGACAGGGGAATTGGGACGCATGTTGAAGTTGTACAGGACATTGGTGAGGCCACTTCTAGAGTACTGTGTGCAATTCTGGTCACACTGCTGAAGGAAGGATATTATTAAATGGGAAAGGGTTCAGAAAAAAAAATACCAGGATGTTGCCGGGGATGGAGGGTTTAAGTTATAAGGAGAGGCTGGATATGCTGGGACTTTTTTCACTGGAGCACAGGAGGGTGAGGGGTGACGTTATAGAGGTTTATGAAATAATGAGGGGCATAGATAAGGTGAATAGCAAAGATCTTTTCCCTGGGGCAGGGGAGTTCAAAACTAGAGGCCATATTTTCAAGGTGAGAGGAGAAAGTTTTAAAAGGGGGCAACATTTTCACAAGAGGGAGGTAAGTGTGTGGAACGAACTGCCAGAGGAAGTGATGGATTCAGGTACAGTTACAATATTAAAAATAGATTTGGATATGTTCATGATTAGGAAATGTTTAGAGGGATATGGGCCAAACGCAGGTAAATGGGGACTAGTTTAGTTTGGGAACATTGTCAGCATGAATGAAATGGACTGAAGAGCCTATTTCTGAGCTGTATGACTCTATGACTCAATGAGAGATTAAGGACCGACAACTCCAAGCAGAATCCACTTCTGACTATTATTTTCTTTCTTAAAATGTGGTAGAATTCAAACAATATAGAATTAACCCAGCATTCAAATAAAGGTACCTTTTCTCTACCTGTCATATCTACAATTAAATGCATATTTGATGATGGAATCAACATTGAGAGTTTAGCTAAAGGCAAATTATAAATGTCTCCAGAAAGGAAACCTTTCATTATTTTAAGTACTTTCATGATCGCTAATGATTCCAAATTGCTTTGCAGCCATAGAAGTTTAATTTGCAGGGTAGTTACTGCTGTAATGTAGGAAATGTGCCAACAAATTGTGCACAGCAGGCTCCAACAAATAGCATGTAATAATGACTGGATAATTTAATTTCTTTGCATGATTAAGGGATTAACATTTGGCCAGGATACTGGGGAAACCTCCTTTGATCCTCTTCAGGATATGCTGTGGTGATCTTTCACAGGATCTCAGTTTAACATTCCATCTGAAAACCCTCCAGCACTTCAGCACTCCCTCAGTACTGTCCTCGAGTGACTTTTGTACTTAGGTTCTGCCTTAGAGCTGAGAGGACGAGCAACGTAAGTCGTGATACAGATTTCAGGGGAAGCGAATTCTGAAAAGCATGATGCAAAAACGTTTATAGGAGCATAGTTGTAATGGAAAGTTATCAAAGGATTAATTCAACATGGTGATACAGGATTTGCGAAAGTATATAAGATGAATACCACTGCTGCCATTTCTGCCTCCAGGCTCCTAACCAAATGAGTGCAATTTAAATCAACCCCGAGGATTATTTTGTTCAACCCCCTCCAGGAACACCTTTAATTTTTACAATGGAGTATTGAATTGTTTAATAAATTATTCTAAGGTGAATACCCAGCAATGCATCCTTGTGTGGACCAGATTTTATGGGAAAAAGAACTGTCAACCATCTCTGCTAAATTCACCACCGGTGTGAAGTAAACTTTTACTTCTAAAAGTTAACATGCAGGACTATTTCAAAATGTCTAAAGAGTGAGCAATATTAAGTTTTATATTATTTCAATGTTCTTACTTGGCAGAGTTGTGGAACTCCTCAATGACTCATCTCCTCCAATGCTATTAATAAAAGCATAAAAAAAGTTTTATGGAGAACTGTTTTCTCAGATAAATACTTTCTCAAACTTTAAGTTAAAACCAATCTATTTTCTCTTCTCAAGCATAAAAAAAATCCAAATCCACAGGTGTATATAATTCCATGATGCATATTTCCATAAGTATACACATATGGATATAATTCCTGGTCATTAGAAGGTTGATACCTCTGTCAGTGCAGCGCTCTTTCAACATTGCAATGCAAAGGTAAGGTAAGGTCAGCAAGCCCCAGAGGGCCACGCTCTCGCTATAGAGAGATGATTGGTGGTGGTTGAACATGAGGGTCACCATGCCTCAGGCAAGGGTCAATAAAGAGAAGGTGGGACCTTCATTGCAACCTCAGCTGGAGCAGGAACTGAACCCTTGCTGTTGGCGGTGCACTGCAAACCAGCTGGCTAGCCAGCTGAGCTAACTGACCTCCTCTGTATTGCAGTGGTGGCTTGTAGCATATACTCATTTTTGGGATTAGCCTTAAACAGCAGCAACTTACATCTCTTAGCATGTTCGGGGTAATGAACCAAATAAATAAACAAACAAACAAGAAATATTGTAAAACAAAGCATGACACTTTGCTCATGTGCCGTATTGTCTCCTATATGACAAAGGTCAGGTCAAAGAAAAAGGAGAGTATTTAAGGAGGAAAGGTGAGTAGGGTATGGCCAGGGGAAGATGGGTAGAATTGAGGTAACAATGAGATCAGTAATGATCTTATCAAGTGGCAGAGCATTTGCTCACAGGGCCAAATGGTATACTCCTGTTCCTGAGTCCCATGTTGGTCTGAATATTCTGAACAACTGAGCATCCACAGTCTCTGGGTAGAGAACTTTGTCAGCGTTCCTTCAGTTTTGCTGGATCAAGATCCTGGGGATCCTTCCCTAATAGTATTGTGGATCTACCTACAGCACATGGACAACTAGGGATTGGCAATAAATGCTGGACGCCCACATCCCATGAATTAATTTTTCTTAAAAATCTAAGATCACTAACCAATCCTGCCATATTACACAATACCAAGTCTTATAAAACCTGTTCTCTGGTTGTTTCTTAAATGTGTTGCTCTAAGAAAACATCTTGAATGCATTTCCATGAACTCCCTATCCAGGCTGCTCCCAGTTTGATTCTTCCAATTTCCGTGTATTCTTCACCCATGGTTATGGTTGTCTCTTTATCACAGACACCCAATATTTCTTCTTGTATAATTTGTCCCACATTGTCAGTTAATTCTAGAGGGGGATTATAGACTACTCCATCTTGTGATTTATTCCTCAATGCCATGCAAACTGATCATAACTCCTGATCCCCTGAACCAAGGTCTCCTCTGAATATTGCACAGATGGTCATTCTTGATGAACAGTGCTACCCCTCCACCTTTAACTAGCCTCCTATTTTTCTTTAATGTCCTATACCCTGAACATTCAGGATCCAATCCTTATCACCCTGAAGCAATCCTTCCATCATGGCCAGCAGATCGTATTTACCTACATCGATTCATTTGCATTGTTACGAATGTTACACATGTTCTAATACTGAGCCTTTAGTTTCATCTTTTTCTTATAATTGTAACATCTCGTCTTTATTATTGGTGAATTTTTTTGTTTTGTTTTTCCACCCTTCCTACCATTCTTTGGCTCTCATTTCCAATATTCCTGCTTTCCTGTCTTACGTTGTCTCTATTTTTTGACATACCACATCTTTCCACATTTGATCCCTTGCCTCAACTACTTAGTTTAAAACCCTCTCTAATTCTCAAGTTATGTGGCCCAGCATGGTTCAGGTGTAGGCCACCCCAATGGTAAAGACCCAGCATTCTCCAGGACTGGTGCTGGTGGCCCACAAAATGGAAATTACTTCTCTTACACCAGTCTTCCAGCCATATTTTGATCTCTCTAATTTTCTCTGTGCCAATTTGCATGTGGCTCAGTTAATAATCCAGAGGTTATAACATTTAAGACTCTGCTTTCTAATTTAATACCTAGCTCCTCATATTTTCTATGCAGAATGTCTTTCCCCATTTTATATATATCATTGGTGCCTACGCAAATGACAACTTGATCCTTGCCACTCCCCTACCCCTACAACAAGTTCTTTGCCAGTCCTAACCAGATGCCCTGGACCCCAGAACCATGCAGATACACTGCTATCTGCATTCTCCTTCTGAAAAGCACAGAATGGTGTCAATCACCATCACAATACTGTTCCCTATTATTGCTACCATTCCTGTTGATGTTCCAATTGAGTGGCTTCCTTGTCAGTGTGCTCGCTGCGTGCCCACTCTCACCCAAACAGACTGAGCAGACTTTAAATCTATTGGAGTAATTGAAAAGACTGACACTTCTGTCCCTCTGGATCCCAAACCTACTTCATTCATAGTATCACGATCCTGCCCTGACCAAATCAGAGGACCCTAAGCACTGTGGGTATGTCCTGATACCAAGAATCCAGGTAACTATCCTCCCTCCCTGATGCATTGCAGGGTCTGCAGTTCTGTCTCTAGGTCATAACCATGAGCTGAAAGCTGGTGGAATTTCAAACAATCACTTCACATGTGCTTGCTCTTGATCACAATGGTATCGAGGAGCTCCCTTATGCTGTAGCATTTGCCAGCCTTAATAAGTATAAATTATATAATTATATTATTCACTTACTTACAATGTCTTTTATGTCTTAACTTTCCTATCAATTTGTATACTATATTAAAATTTAAAAGAACTTAAGCATTGACCAGAGGCCCACCAAACAATTAATTCCTTTCTCTGTAGTACAGCAAGAACCTTTGCCAATTAGCTCAAATGAATCTAGTCCTGATTGCCTGCAATGGAGTCTTGCTCTTGACTACTCATCTAAATGACCCTGACTGCCTGTCTCGAGGTCCCCATCTTGCCCACTCCTTTACGGTGATGCTGACTGCCTGTCAAAGGGTCCTCACCTCACCCACTCCTCTCAGTGATACTGACTGCCTGTCGCAGGGTCCTCATCTTGCCCTCTCTTCTCACTGATGCTGACTGCCTATCTCAGAGTTCTCATCTCAATTGCTCCTGTCGTCGAGGTTTCCATTGTCATGTGCTTTTGTCATTGCCCAGACCACAGCGGGCAGAGGAAAATTCTGCCCAGTGAGTTTAAATGGAATCAAAGCACCACGTGTGAACGTTGGGAACTTACTCTAGACCATAATAATCCCATGTTTCTGGATTTGTCATGATAATGCTTATTGCCAGTAATGCTGTAGGAACTTTATTTTGTAAGCAGTGTATTTTACCTGAAGGATAAGCCTCTGTACTGGGTTAAGACATCCAGAACATCATTGGGTTTGGAGCCTATTCCATTGCCGGCCTACAAGACAATTAACACCATTACAAGTTCTCTTCTTCAGATAAGCTAAAACTTTTTTTTTCAAGGAATAATTTGTTGGGAGATTGTAGTAATTTGCTATCAGACAAGTGAATGGGTCTTGAGTGAGCAAAACCACTCAGCTGATATCAGGTTTAATGAAATCAGGTGGGACCATAAATTGGCAGGAAGTGCAAATCAGACATCAGTATAAATCAGGTGTAAATAAGTGTAAATCAGACAGGAATGTAAATCAGGGTGAGAGTAATGTCTGTGGCGTTTAAAATAGTTTGAATGTAAATTAGGTGTAAGAATAATTTATGTGGAGTGTAAATAGTGTGTATATAAATTGGGCAAGAGTGTAAATCAAACAGGGATAAATTGGGCAGGGATATATATTGAACTGGGGTATAAATCAGGCAGGAGTGCAAATCAGAAAAGAGTGTAAATCAGATGGGTGTGTAAGTAGGGTAGGAGTGCAGATTGGGTGGGTGTGCAGATTAGGTTGGGGTAAAACTGACAGCTACCTTTTTTTGGGAAACGAGAGATGGACAATAAGCTCTGGCCCGCCCTGAAAGGCCCATGTCCCATGAATGAACTGAAATTTGGGCAGCGGGTGTATTGTGATCAATCAACTCCAAAGGCTTTCCACTTTCCCATTGGGCACATCAAACTACATCACTGTTGTTAAGTCAGGAAATCACAGCTGTAGCATTTTATATTTGGGTTTATGTTCAATATCAATATTGCCCATAATAAGTTGCTGGCTGTTTCTCTGGAGTTTGAAAATTCCTGATTATAAATATGCAAATATCAGATGGCAGGGAATTTATCACGAAGGTGTACATAATACAGTTGGTACAATTCATATGTTACCAATATCATTGACCATCTGCTATTACAAATGCTGTATTAAGATCATTAATTATTGAAGCACAGATGCTGTAATTTGTCCCTTTTTAAAGTAAATAGCAGAGATAAATAGTGCACAAACCGTCAGAGAGTCACCCACTGCTCCGATCACCTTCACATCAGCCGGTCGTAGAGAGTGAACTGTAAAATAGTCAAGTCAAGAATATTCATGTATTTCACTGATGCCTTAGAATAGAGACGGGCTGAACTCCAATAGGAAATGTTCATTGCATCTCTTTTGTCCAATTCAATATACATAACTGCTTGTGGGTCTATGCCAGATTTAAAAAGCTCATTCACTGTCAGCACTGTGTAGCAGACAACATGTCACATTCTCCTGATCAGATCTATACTGAATCCCAGACTGACGCCATGTGGCAAACAGGGAACGATGGAGCATCAAACATGTAATTAAATTCCAGGGAAGTGTAAACATAAGATGGTGATAATAATAGGGGATTTTATCTACCACATATTAAGTTTAGTGCTTAGTGTGAAAGGTAGGGAGGGGGAGACAATATAGTTAAATTGCACACAGGAGAACTATTTTAGCCAATACGTAGAAAGCCCAACAAAAAAATGGTTACTTCTGGACTTAATATTTGAAAATGAGTCCTGGCCAGTTGGAAGGGTTATCAGTGGGGAAGCATTTTAGAGATAGTGACCATAATTCAGTTAGATTTAGAATAATTATGGAAAAGGATAAGGATGGACCAGGAATAAATCTTATATACTGGCTAAAAGGCTAATTTAACTAACCTCAGGTACGATTTGGCCCAAGTAATCTGGGAGCAGCTGCTTGCAGATAAAATGTGTCAGAGCTGTGGGACATATTCTTGGAGGCAATAGCAAAAGTACAGGGCAAAGATGTTTGCACAAAGACAAAAGGTGGGGTCACAACTTTCTCAGTGATGGGTAATAAATGGTTGCCCAGCCAGAGATGCTCACCTCCCATGAATTAAATTTTAAATAAAGACTAGAGAACCCAGGCGTAAAGATTAAGACACAGCAAAAAAGGATGGCAGATACTGAGGGTTCAATATGACAGAGTCCTTAGAAGAGAATAAAAAATACAGTTAGGAAATTAGGAGAGTGCATGAGAAAGCATTGGCGGGGAAAACCAAAAGGGTCTTTTGAAATATACAACGAGCAAGAGAATAACTATGGAAAGAGTATTAACCATTGAGGTAACCTGTGTGCGAACCCTGAAGAAGTGAACATAGCTCTTTACGAATATCTTACATCAGTCTTCACAATGGAAAAGGATGATGCAGCTATAGATATCAAAGTAGAGTCTGTGAAGTTTTAAAAGGAATTGACATAAATACAGAGAAGGTACTGGTGAGTTTAGCAGCCTGAAGAGTGATAAGTTCGCAGACCTGGTTGAGATATATCCCAGGCTGTTGAGGAGACAAGGAAGGAGATTTCAAGGGGCCTGTCAGTAACTTTCAAATCCTCTCTGACCAAAGGTGAAGTGCCAGGGGACTGGAGGACTGCTGATATTGACTCATTATTACAAAAGGCAGGAAGGGATAGACTAGGAAATAACACATCAATCAGCTTAACATTGGTGGTTGGGATGTTGTTAGAAAGATTTCTGAGGGACAGAATTTAGCTACTCTTGGACAGACAGGGATTAACCAGGATAGTCAGCATGGATTTATTAAGGGGCTCGTCATGTTTATCATATGTTGCCTGGGCTGGAGTGTCTGAACTAACAGGAAGATTGGATAAGCTGGTGTTGTTTTCCTTATCACAATGAGGGCTGAGATGGGACCTGACAAAAATGTATAAAATTATAAAGGGCATAGACAGAGTGCATAGGAAGGCACCCTTTCCATTAGTAAAGGAATCAGTAACTGGGGACAAAGTAAGAGGTAGAAGGCTAAGAGGGAAGTTCAGGAGATTTTTTTTCACACAGAGGTGTTTGGAGTTTGGACCTCTCTGGCTGAAAGAGTGGTTTAGTTAGAAAATTTCATAACATTTAAGCAGTATTTAGATGTTCGTTTGTGTGCCATACCCTCTAGGGCTATGTAGTGTACTGTAGTAAAATTTTGTTGAGTGATGCAGACATGATGTGCCAAATGGCCTACTTCTGTGCTGTGCACATCTATGTCTACTAGATGACCAGGAGTACAATTTGTTACACTCTCAAAAAGGACATGAGGGTCTTTGATTGAGTGCAAAAGAGATTCTTCAGAATGGGGAGGTTGTTCTAAGAATGTAGGATTTTAATTACAATGTTAGATTGGAAAAGGTGGGGCCGATCTCCTTGGAGCAAAAGACTCTGAGGGGAAGTTTGACAGAAGTGTACAAGATTACGACTGGTTTGGTTAATGATCTGGAACCCGTTGTTTATCAGGGTATTCAAAGTGAAAACGATCAATGACCTTGAAAAAAATTTGGACAGACATTGAAAGGCACTAAACGTACAATGTTATGTGGATTGAATAGGAAACTGGGTTGACTGCATCAGTTCCTGGAGAACTGACATGGACTAGATGGGCCAAATAGCCTCTTTCTGTGTCATTAATGACTCTGACTCTATGGCTCACTCACAGAATACTATGTGGTGCATTGAATGCTCAGTGATTCTAGTCTTCAGACAATGAGTTGGTAGCAGGTCAACCCTCCAAGCCCAGTAATGGCGTATGTTTTAGGGAAGTAATAATGGAAAGCAGAACAAAGCAGCATAAATACTTTAAATGATTTATTGTTACCTGAATTTGGAATGATGTCTGATGGAGCCCTGTCCTTACAAAGTAACTGGCTTCCAAAGACCTATAAGTAATCACAGGCTTCAAATTCAACCCATTCATCGTTTTGATTAAGTACAGAGTATCTTCCCATGGCTCCCTCAATTTGCTACAGCTGGATTGGAGTTTCCTCAAAGCAATTTCTGCTGAAATTATTCTGAAATTAACAGTGGCAAGTTTCTGTCCAAGCCACTCAAAAATGCTCAACCAGTCCTCGGAAGGCTGAAATGAAAACAGAAACTGCTGGTGAAACTCGGCATGTTCTCCACCCTTGTTAATATATCACCCACAATAACATAGCCAAGTTATTTCAGTCTGCCTGACTCCCACAGACCTTCTGCGTTCCTTCCTGACCCTCTTTCACCATGAACACACTACCGGCTGACCCAACCTGACAGCCTATGCCAACCAAAACCCCAACCTCACTAACCTACCACCCTACTTACCTGCTACATTGCCTATTAACACCCTGTCACTCTATCAGCTGCCAACCCTATCCCCTTACTCACTTAGCTAATCCATCTTACACCCTTATCTCACTCATCCAACCCAGTTACCTGCCTACATGTTCACCCACCTATTCACATGCACTCATTTGTTCACCCACACTCAGTCACTAACACAGAGAGAAGCTGTTTAAATGTTCCAATCTTTTCAGTGTGCTAGTGAATGAATTTCCCACAGCAACTAGTACCGTAAAAAGAGTGGTGTAGTAGAATTTCGCAGTGATCCAGCACTACAAAGGAAGACTCCAATTTTGAGTACACTTTACGTATCTGAAAGTGCTACAATTGGAAAACCAGCCAGAAATGTGGAGCTTTGTTAAGGTTGTTAATGGTGGTCACAGGACCAGCAAACTGACAGTGATTGCTATGTTGGGATGTTTCAGGCCAATTAGTTCTTATCTTGTTCAGTAATCAATTTTGTGAGTTTATCAAATACATTTTGACAATCTAAATACACCACACTGGCTGGTTCACCTTTATCCACTCTGCTTGTTACATCAAAATATCAAAAATACCTTTTGACTTTGTAAAAACCCTGTTGATTCTGCCTGATTGTATTATGACCTGCTAAATATTCAACTGCTACCTTCTTAATAGAGCACCCTGGCACTTTTCCAATGACTGTTGTTGGACTAACAAGCCTACAGTTTCCTAATTCTGTCTCCTTCCTTTTTTGTATACAGGCATTACATCTGCAGTTTTCCAAAACCACTGGAATGTTCCCAGAACCTAGGGAATTTTGGATTATTATTACCAATACATCCACTATCTCTGTAACCAATTAAGATCTTTAATGCTGTTAGTTTTCCAAATACTTTTTCTCCAGTGATTGTGATTGTTTTATGTTTCACTACCCCTTTAGCATCTTGATTTTCTACTATTCTTGGTTTTTTTTTACATCCTTTGACTGTAAAGACAGTTATAAAATTGCCTATTCAAAACTCCTGCTATTTCTTTGTTTCTCATTATGAATTTCCTAACCCCACACACTGAGGGACCAATGACCACTTTAACTATTATTTCTTTTTTCATAAACTTGTAGAAGCCTGTTTTTGAGATAGTAGGAACTGCAGATGCTGGAGAATCTGAGATAACAAGGTGTAGAGCTGGATGAACACAGCAGCATCATAGGAGCAGGAAGGCTGACGTTTCGGGCCTAGACCCTTCATCAGAAATGGGGGAGGGGAAGGGGGCTCTGAAATAAATAGAGAGAGGGGGAGGCGGTGATAGAAGGTGGATAGTGGAGCAGAGGTAGGTGGAGAGAAGATGGACAGGTCAAGGAGGCGGGGACAAGAGGGGGAGCTGGTCTTGGGATGAGGTCAGGGGTGGAGAGATTTTGAAGCTCATAAAGTCCATATTGAGACCATTGGGTTGTAGGGTTCCAAGGCGGAATATGAGGTGCTGTTCCTCCAGTTTCCGGGTGGCATCGTTGTGACGCTGGAGGAGGCCCAGGATGGACACATCTAGGGAGTGGGAGGGGAAGTTGAAGTGGTTTGCAACTGGGAGGTGTTGTCAGTTGTCGCGAACCAAGCGTAGGTGCTCCACAATGCGGTCTCCGAGCCTCCATTTGGTCTCTCTAATGTAGAGGGGGCCACATCGGGGCTATGTTACTAGTGTTGTAGTAGTCATAACCTATGATTAATAGAAATAATTGAGAAATTGTCATGATCAAGGAAACTGAGCATGTGCTGTACTTCTGGGAAAGTACGGCATCTCTGAGGAAGCTCTAGGGTCCAGATTTTCATGGTGCAAGTCTTTCCAGTGGAATTGGGTTAAGGAAAGTTGGATCTAACCTGAACTGTTATCTCACTGATACTCAGGCTTCTCTATTGACATGACATTGTACCCTAAACTGTGCAGTATTATTGGAAGCTTCAAGAAGAGTTTGATCTCCACCTTCACTCTCATCTATTGATGATTTGTACCAACTGAACCAACAAATATTTTCAGTAGAAGACTGGCCATTAAAAGAATAAAGTCAGGAATTATGAGTCCGAATGTCTCCACTATCCCCATCTGGACTTGAAACGTTAACTCTACTTTCTCTCCACGCATGCAGCCAGACCTCCTGAATTTCTCCAGCAATTTCTGTTTTTGTTTCAGATCTCCAGCATCCGCAGTTCTTTGTTTTATAAAAAAATTGAGCAAAGACTGGCTTCTGGTCTGTTACTGTACCAACTGGCAGTAAGAGGTTGAACATTGAGGATAATCTATTCCATCCTATCCTCTAACTCTCTTAGTAGGTGGTTGAAACTATGCCATGGCCAAGAGCAAGGAATGGGTTTTCTGAGCAATCCCCTAAGAAGAATCTGAAATTCTATCACTGGACAGCTCCAAGTTTTGAAGAGCGCCAAGATGGCTGATACTAAAAAGTTAGCATTAAGAAAATCATTACAACGTATAGGTCCATATTGAACAGTGGTGTACGATGGACAATAGTGAAGTATAACCTCATTTTGCACCTTCCCACTATTCCCTTCCCAGTTTTCATTTCATTATCCCACCACCCATTCTGCATAGAAAAAGATGGAAGATGATTAGGTTTAATCCTGAAAGAACCATTTTCTTGAAACGATTTTAGACTGCATTTATCACAAACCTCGAACGATGGAACAGTTGTGGTTTTAATGGTTTCAGGGGTTACTGTCGTCAGCTGCCCAGGGTTATTTGGATAAGTAAAATTACTGTTCCTGTACGTCCTCAAGTAAGGCTGCTCCTGGAATTAGCATAGGATAAAAACAAAAATATTGATTTGTTAAGTTAAATGCCAAATGGTTATTCTTTCCTATCTAAGAATTTAAAAAAATCTTCATTCCTGCAATGTAGGCATCACTAGCTAGACCAGCATTCATTTATAATTACCCCATTGCTGTGGGTCTGCAATCACATGTAGCACAGACCACGTAAAGGTGGCATATTTCCTGCCCTAAAAGATAAATGATGAGTTTTTATGATAATCAGCAGTGGTTACCATTAGTCATGCCTCTTTTATTCCAGAATTTCATTTTATTAATTCAAATGTCACCATCTTCCATGGTGTAATCAAACCCATGTCCCCAGAACATTAGCCTGAGATCCTTGTTGGCCAGTGAGGTGACACTTTCACTCTGTCACCATCTACATGCATTGGTCGAAATGAGTGATCTTCCGTCCCTTCACGAGAAAGATCTCTTTGCTCACCAGCCCAACAAAATTGTGATCGGAAGGTTCTGTGTGAGAATATATTCATCTCCTATACTCCATTCATAGTTAGACATTTGACCACATTGAGTGTCCTCTCTATCTTCCTCCATTCAGCACCGGGTGTCCTTTCTACATCCTATCAATGATCATTTCTATCATCCATCATTCATTTTTAGACATCCTCTATATTCCCATCTGCCATTATGTTATGAAGAAGTGTCTTATATTAATCTGCAATATTATTAGTTGAATCTACACAACTTCTCCTCATATACCCTGTCAAGGCCCTGAAGGCTGTTACATGTTTTCATAAGGTCTCCTCTCATTCTTCTAACCTCTGTGAGTACAGGCCCAACCCACTCAACCTTGCCTCATTAGAAAATTCTTCCATATCCAAGATCAACTCTGTGAACTTTCCTTATGTTTCTGTGGAGTATCTTGGGATCTTTTCTATGGTGACTGTTCCACTTCAATATCTAAATACCACACCCACATAACATTACAGATCACACACTCATCCAGCAAGTGCCTCATTCAATGTCCTATAGTGTTTGCAGATTTCTCAGTCAATGAAATCATCGGGAAGTTGTTACTGAAAAATATATTAAATAGAATCCTATAAGCTTAAACAGAATATGAACACTAATATATCATTGCATTATTTACTTCTATGCTGCTTCTATTTTATATTTCTATTAAATTTATCCTTTCATATTCAGTTTGCGATTCACACATCTTGTTGTCTATATAATCACATTTTTGATTTTCTTTTACCTTATTTTTTTGTAAGTAATGTTCTTTGTTGGGACAAAATCCTTTATTCTCACTTATATCATTATAAAACCATCACCAAGACAACTGGAGGGCACACCCCTGTTTGCATCAATGGTGCTGAGGTAGTGATGGTAGGAGCGTCAGGTTACTGGGAGGGGTAAGCACCAACAATCTGTCCTGGTCCACCCACATCAATGTAACAGTCAAGAAAGCACAACAATGTCTCTACTTCCTCAAGAGGCTAAGGAAATTCAACATGTCCACAAGGACTCTTACCAATGTTTGTAGGTGCACCATTGAAAGCATCCTATCTAGAGGCATCACAGTGTGGTATGGAAACTGACCTTCCCAAGACCGCAAGAAACTACAGAGGGTCATGAACACAGCCCAATCCATCGTGAAAACCAGCCTCCCATCCATTGACTCCATCTATACTTCCCAAAGGCTCGGGAAAGCAACTAACATAATCAAAGACACCTCCCACCCTGCTTATAGTCTCTTCCACCATCTTCTGCTGGGTAGAAAATATAAAAGTTTGAATACACAGTCGGACAGATTCAAGAACAGCTTCTTCCCCACTGTTATCAGAGTTTTGATTGGACCTCTCAAATCTTAATTCTGATCTCTCTCTCCGCTCCTTCTCTGTGGTTGTAACACTGTATTCTGCACTCAGTCCTGCTATGCTGGTGCACTTTGTATGATCTGCCTGTATAGTACGCAAAACAACACTGTTCACTGTATCTTGGTACAATCAAACAATCAATTGAAACTGTAAATTGGTTGAATGGTTATAGAGCATTAGCCTGACAATGCAGTTGTGCTCTTTTCTACTTGAGTTAGATACCGAGCCACCAGATAACCTGTCATAACCTAACTCAGTGTGTTTGGCCCCGTTCAGCCAGCTAGGCTCTGAAGTATTTGGAGATATTGAACTCATGGTATCTAAGGGGCTAAGCTGAACTGTAATGAGAAAAGATTTCTAGAGTGACTAGAAGAGAAAATAGCCTTTTTCTTTTCCGATTTGCTGAAATGTTGACATATTTATTACGTTAAGAATGTATTTAAAGGAATATATTTGCAGGAAGTAGGGAGTAATCATGGCAGCATTTTTTTTTTAATTTTGCTAGAATCAATTAAATAGAAATTTTTCGAATAAATAAATGTGCAAATGTTGTTTAGTGGAAACCAATCTAGTTGGAAGGGCAGAAATTGTTTGTATTCAGTTTATTTTTGATTAGATTGTGGCTGGGAAGAAACTTGCACCTGGTGAGAAACATTTGGCATAATACGATTGACAGAGTTACCACTTTAGAGAACTAAACTCAGCACCAGGTCAAAATCCCCTTGGAATTTACTGTCCAGCAGCATGGCATCCTGAAGCATCATGGAGGTCACCACAGCTCAACACCGCTGTTCAATTTTACAAAAGCTTCTATTTACAACCATAAATGAAAGCAAAAAAATGACAACCCAGGGAAAGCAAGGAAATAAACACCAGTTTGCCATTGAAAAGTAACCAATCTAATTACAAATTAAACCATATAAAACGTACCTTTGAAGGACAGCTGATGTTGATGTGACCATCAAACGTTTGATTGACATTCTTTTTACCAAGGGGCTCCAACTGAATGAAGTCAAAAACATCACAAAAAAACCGAAGTTATTTTCCCCATTCTGTTTTGCTTTGGAACCAAATCCGACTATTATATGTCTTTTTATTCTCCCAGATTGATCCCTCATATCTCCATCAAATTATGACCCTGTTGAACTCTATCACGGATCTTCTGTGTTTTTCCTGTCTTCTCCACCTTTCGCTCATTTCTTTTTTCCTACAATTCTGATGAAAGGTCATTGACTGAAGGGTTAATACCGCAGCATCAGGATGGACATAAGAAAACCCACTGGTGCCGACTTATGTTATTGCTGTAATGTTTTAATCCTGCTAATCTTACTTATCATATTGTATCAATTATATTTTCATAGTTTTGCAAATGCAATATACATAAATGTATAATTTCCCAAATGAGCAGTGAAGTTTTCTTTCTTCCAAGAGTGCAGGTGCTAAATAGGTGTGTTTTTTGAAATATTAATATATAATATGATTGATTCGACATATATGCATATCTTAAAATTTTTAAAAGGAATGCTTTCCAAATCCAAGAATACCGCAGCTGAAATGTTATATTTAGAAAGAACATAAGCTACACAATTGGAGATACCAAGACTATAACACTTTTATGAGAGACCCAGTTATTAGATGTAATGAAGCTAGAGACCAACATTTGAACAATATGGAAATAATTATTTTTTACGAATTTAACTGTTACTTGCCAAAGTAATTTTCATATAACACTCTTCAGAGTTTTTATAACGTTTTTCCCAGACTTGGGATTGTGGGGCTGGGTTAGTTTTCAAGATGGGTAGTTGTACATATTCATACACTGTAAACCTTTTTAATAATTTTAGCATCTTAACTTAAGCAAATTTTTTTAATCACTTCACTGTTGGCAACCATGCCTTCAGCCGCCTAGGCCCAAAACTCTTGAATTCCCCATCTAACCTCACCACCTCACTAACATTCTCTAACCTTTTAAAACATTTCTTCCAATCTATTAACTCAACTAAGATTTTTTGTCCTCTGTTGTATTCATTCATGGAGTGGCTTTGCACCAAAGAACACTTCTGTTAGCTATGGGAAAGACAAATTGATTTTGTCACAGTCCCAACTTTGAGCCAGAAGTTACAATTGCTTCAGGACATCTGTGCAGGTGTTCCTCAGGGTAGTGTCCTAGGCCAAACCAGCTTGAACTGCCTCATCAATGACTTGTCCTCAATTATAAGGTCAGAAATGGAGATGTTTGCTGATGATTGCATAATGTTCAGCATCATTCACAACTCTTCAAATACCGATGCAGCATTGTATGTTCTTTTTTTAATTCACTGCTGGGATGTGGGCGTCCCTGGCTAGGCCAACATTTATTGCCCATCCCTAATTCCCAGACGGCAGTTAAGAGTCAACCACATTGCTGTGGATCTGGAGTGAGTTGTAGGCCAGACCAGGTAAAGATGGCAGATTTCCCTCCCTAAAGGACTTTAGTGAACCATAGGGGTTTTTCCGACAATCAACAATGGTTTGATGGTCATCGTTAGATCTTTAATTCCAGATTCTTTATTGAATTCAAATTCCACCATCTGCCATGGCAGGATTTGATTCTGGGTCCCAAAATCATTAGCTGAGTTTCTGGAAATACAGTCTAGTGATACTACAGCTGGCCATTGCCTCCCTTTCATATTATGCTTCATATTGTTTTCCAAGGGAGTGCGAAGATACAAAAACAAACCACAGTTTGGTGCTGCCTATAACAAGACATTATATAGAAAGCTATTGAAGAAGAATTAGGGAGATTACAAATGGGACAGAAGAAAGAGAAATGTACAGCAGCCGTTAAAGGCAGTTTATCAGGGTAGTTGATGGCAGTGTCTTCAGGATTTTGTACTGGGACCATTTCGGTCCATTCTCAATACAAACGTTCTAAAGAAAGTGGTGTCCAAATTACAATAGGAGGCATAACAACTAATCAAGAATGCAAAAGGAAGTTGCAAGATTTGATCATTTGGTTGAATGGACAAAAAAGCACAGGTGAGACTGAAGTTAGTAAGTGTGAGGTAGTTTGTTTTGGTAAAAAAAAAGTTCTCTTTTAACTGGGGCAAGCTGTGTGGAAGCAGGGAAAGCAAAAGTTTTGGTGGTTCAGTTCATAAGACAGAAGAAATGGCACTTCATGTGGAAAAGGTATAAAAGTTGATACAATACTGGGCTTTTTGCCAAAGGTTCAGAATGTAAAATTGGATTCATCTGAGTAAAATCACTGAAGGAGTACTGTGTGTTGTTCTAGCCTTTGTATGTAAAAAGCATGCTTCTAAGTCAATGCTGAAGCAAAAGATGCAAAATATTACGTTACTAGCTGGCATTGTTGCGTTGAATCCTTATGTTAAACGTGAGACCTCCAGTCATTTATAAATATTAGTATTTGTACTCAGATAAAATGTCCTGCCTTATTGCTCATCAGTTCTATGAGTATGATGAAGCACTTGCTTGAACAAAGCAAATACACAAGCAGAGGCAGCTGACAAGACTTTTCTTCCACTGAGTGCAGCCCCCTGTTAAGAGAGGCAGACTGCCTTTAAGTAGAGCAAGCTAGCTGTGCCACTGGACATCAGCGAATGGTGCTTAGCCCCGATACAGCCAGTCAATGTCACCATTTCAGATAAATGAAGAGACTATGCCATGTTTCTGTGCTCCTGTCTAAACGGGGATGTTCAGATTTTAAATAAAACCTGCATCTGAAAACAAGCACTAATTCTTAGCCCATATTGTTTAGGCCAATAGGCTGCACATGTTTCCGATTTGGAATCAGATTGACACTATAAAAGAATCTTTTATTTTTCTCTCCATCTCCCCAAGAAGGTGAACCTTGCATTGTTTTTCAATGCCTAGAATTTAGCAATTAGCATTCTCCTATACTATGACCATTCTCTGGTTCTCTAGAAACTGCAGTTGCGTCCTGGTTTCAAGTCAGAAAGGGAACCAATCAGCAACTGAACAAGCACATCCTCTATGAAAAATAAACTGAAAACACTACTGATCAAATACTTTACCAAATTGTTCCATAGACCCCGAGCTGCCTGCGAATGACCCTTCAAACTGAAGTGAAAACAATCTGGTGAAAAATAGGTTTTGTCAGGCAGGCCGTTCTAGGGAAAGAGGAATAGGAGTGATATTAGTGAAAAGTTGCACCTCATTCATCATTTGTATGCACTATATTTATGGAGCAAGAGGGGCAGAGACCTCATCTGACCAGGTGATTAAAGTTCCCATTCCTAAGCGAAATTAGGGGAACAGACCCAGTGATTCAGTTACTGGAAATGAATGTTTCATTTAGAGGCAACATGGCGTGATTCTCTAGAAACACTTTGCAATATGTCAGAAGAGCACTAAAGAGATGTAGCATTTTGATCAAAATAGGCCACACATGCCAACTTTTGGTGACACCAGCCATAACTTCATCAACCTCTCAATGGTATATTTGACTGTATTCCCAGGGCCAGGGTGGGCAGAGATCCAGACGTAGGGCAATGTTATCTGGTGTCCAAAAGCTCAAACATGCTATGGAGTGACAAGTTAGGGTCTTAAACATTTCAAATAACATCATCTCTACCGTAGCAGTCATCAAACAGTGGGCGAGGTTCTGAGTTGCAAACTCAATGCCTGAAAATTTCTTTCATCTTTTTTGCCTATTGGTTATTTACCCCCAACCCCACTCCCACCAAACCTTCAGGCTTGACCATAGCTACTAAAGGGTTGAGATGTTTGATGAGGATTTCCAGTAGCTGTAAAATCCTTTGCTCCCCTTCACTTTACATCCAAATAATAATTGTTGGTCTTATGAAGGGGAGCATAAGAGTTCCTATGGAACCCACAAGAATAGTTTGGGCTATTGCTGCCTTGAACATTTCACTTCCCCACACCCCATTTCTCCACAGTCCGGAAATGCTCATAAACCCCTTGTCCATAATTACCCCTCTCAGCTGCCAGATGGGCAATACTACATTAGCCTAAATGCAACCAGCTGTCTCTGGACGTCTGCTTGGAATGGGTAGCTAGCTGGTTGTATTTCACTCAGGTTCAGTTATTAACATGGACCAGGCCTCCCATTGTTCTGCTGGTCAACTATTAAAAAAGAGTTAAAAATGCCTTCTAAGGGTCGGATTTCACACTATGCTAGCAATTGTCCAGGCCATTTAAATCAATAGAGTACTTCCTCAAACCGCTGAATCGCAACCGTTTATGCTGTTCATAGAACTAAAGAAAAAGTAGAAACGTTATGAAACATTGCCTTAACTTCACCATCCACTCAGCTTAAATGAGCAACCTGTTACCTCCATATTTTCCTTCAATTACCTTGTCTCGTGGTATTTCAATATTCTCTAGAAATGGTTGGATGACCACAGTAAAGTCTTCCCTGGTATCATACCTTCCAGACTCAACCAACATATGAGTTCTTTCCTGGAAGAGGAGAATGGTTCATTTGAATCAATGCAAGTATTTCACAATCTGGCTGCGAGAGACACTGAATATATCCGATAAATGCTCATTGGTGACCTCTGCAGGCATTAAGGCCCTCACTTATATTTTCAAGGGACCTAAAGCCAGGGCAGATGGTCCCATGAATGTAATACTTGGATTAAAATCTGTACAGTTTGGGCACAGGACTTCCAACTGCTAAGTTGGTATACTTTGTCTCATTATGTAAATGCAAACTCTAACCCAAGGTCATGACTATCAGGAGTGGTATGTTTTGGATGAGGTGTAATTGAGGGACGTTTGGTTCTCTCATATGGATGCTAAAGATCCCATGATACTATAGAAATCAGGCAGGATACTCCACTTGTTAGAATCGTAACTGGCACAACAAAAGATGGATGTGGTTGTTGGAGGTCAGTCATCTCAGCTCCAGCATATCTCTGCAGGAGTTCCTCAGAGCAGTGTCCTAGATCTGCAATCTTCAGCTGCTTCATCAATGACCTTCCCTCCATCATGAAGTCAGAGGTGGGAACGTTCACTGATGCTTGAACAATCTCCAACTCCATTGTGTCTTGTCAGAGGCAGTGAAGCAGTTCATGTTTTAATGCAACAAGATCTGGACAATATCCGGGCTTGGGCTGGCAAACAACATTCATGGGCACACAAACTCCAAACAATCACTATCTCCAACCATAGAGAATCTAAGTTATTCCTTGAAATTCAATGGTATTACCATCAGTGGACCTCCAACTAGCAACATCCTGAGGATTACCATTGACTGGAAACTGAATTGGACTAGCTGTATAAATACAGTGGCTACAAGAGCAGGTAAGAGGTTAGGAATCTTTAAGCAAGTAATTCACCTCCTGACTCCCCAAAGTCTGTCCACCCTCCGCAAGGCATAAGTCAGGAATGTGATAGACTATGCCCTATTTGCCTGGATGGGTGGAGCTCCAACAATACTCAAGAAGTTGACACCATCTAGGACAAAGCAGTCCACTTGTTTGGCACTACACCCTCTCCCTCCATACTGATACACAATAGAAGATGTATTGCAGGAATTCGCCATGGCTCCTTAGACAGGACCATTCAAACCCATGTTCACTTCCAACTAGAAGGACAAGGGCAGCAGATACATGGGAACACCTGCAAGTTCCCCTCCAAGCCACTTGCCAATCTGACTCGGAAATGTATCTCTGTTCCTTCAGTGTCACTGTGTCAAAATCCTAGAACACCCTCCTTAACAGCATTGTTGGTCTACCTATAGCACTGCTACGGTTTAAGAAGGCTGCTCAGCAACATGTTCTCAAGGGTAACTAGGAAAGGGCTTTAAATGCAGGGCCAGGCACTGATGCCCACATTCCATGAATGAATAAAAATAAAAATTTAAAAAAAGAGCAGGGGGGCTTTTTAAATGGCCAATATTTATCTCTCAAACAACATTCCCAAAATAGCTTATTTGGTCACATTACATTACTATTTCTTGTGCATTAACTGGTTGATAAATGTGACATTTCCTTGACCATAAAGTGCTTTGTGGCGTCCCGAGGATCTGAAAGCTATTGCATAATTTAAGTCCAGTTTTGTTACATACCTGGTATTTACGATTCAGGATTCGGAGTTTTTCCAACTGTATTGAATTGTCTTGTGGATTAATGACACAATTACAGAGCAATCTGTTGGGAAATGAATTGAAGGCACCAATCAAATAAGTAAATTACTATAGAAAATAGCACCTCAAGTCTGCTACACCATGATTTAAGATCATGGCTAACAAGTTGAAACGAGACTTCCCTGTTTTTAAACTCTAATGCCCTAGTAACAAAAGCGAAAATTGCCTTTTCAATTACTTGCTGCACCTGCATGCTTGGTTTCTATGTTTCATGCACAAGAATACCCAGATCCCACTGCACTACACTTTCTTGGAGTCTATCTCCTTTTAATTAACAGGCTTCTTTTTGATTCTTCTTATTAAGTGACTGACCTCACACTTTCCTACCTTAATTCCATGTGCCGGAAATTGCCAACTCACTCAAACTAACAATATCCCCTTGAATATTCCTCCTGTCTTCATTAAAATATACCCTCCCAACTATTTCTGTATCATCAGCAAAGTTTGTTACATTACACACTGCGCCTCTCCTCTACATCATTGATACGGATAGTAAATAATCATCATAGAATCCCTACAGTGTGGAAACAGGCCCTTCGGCTCAACAAGTCCACATTGACCCTCAGAGCATCCCACCCTGACTCATCCCTATAACCCACTTAATCTACACATCCCTGAACACTACAGGCAATTTAGCTTGACCAATCCACCTAGCTTGCACATCTTTGGACTGTGGAAGGAAACTGGAGAAAACCCATGCAGACACAAGGAGAATGCACAAGCTCCTAACAGTCACCCAAGGGTAGAATTGAACCCGGGTCCCTGTGAGGCAGCAGTGCTAACCACTGAGCCACCATGCCACCCCATGAAGGCTCTATGACTGATTCTTCTGGTACTCTACTCATTATATCTTTCCAACCTGAAAAAGACCCTCTAACCTTGACTCTCCATCTTCTCTGTGTTAACTAATCCTCAATCCATGCTAAAACATTACTCCTGATACCATGAACTCCTATCTTGTGCGACACCCTTTTATGTGTCACCTTATTAAATATCTTCTGATAATCCAAATATACCACATCTACCGGATCCCCTTTATCATCCCTGCTTGTATGTCCACAAAGAACTTCAGCAAATTTGTGAAACATGGTTTCCCTTTCAGAAAACCATGTTGACCCTGTTTACTTGCATTTGCGTTTCTAAATGTCCTGCTATTTCTTCCTTAACACATTTTCCGAATGACAAATGTCAGGCTAACTGGCTAATTGCACACCAATTATTGATTAGTACCACCTAACTTCGAATTGCCACAAAGCTATCTCAATTCACTAGATAGCAGCAGAGTAGGACGCTCTGGTCAGAGCTCCTCGGAGATTCTCCGCTCACCAGTTTCTTTACTTTTTTCCCGTTTTTTTCTCTCCTCTTCGTGGTTTTCCTTTGCTGTCACCCCCACCCCTTGGAGACTGGAGATGCAGAGCAAGTGGGCTGAGTCCTATGGCAGACTGCAGCGAGCACAGGTCAAGTCCTGCAATAGATGTGAGAGAGCATGGCCCGAGTCCCAAAACCGCTGGTAGAGAGCACAGGCCCAGTCCCGCGGTGGAGCCAGCACGGGCAGCATGGCCTTGTGCTCTGGGGCTTGCAGGCACACCCTGTGAGCCCTAGAACACCGTGAGCAGTGAGCCCTGGAGCAGTACATGGGCTGCGAGCCTGGAGCAGCTCATTGGAAACAGCCCCAGAGCAGCACATGGGAAACAGTCCCAGAGCAGCAC